CAGGATAGAAGACTTCAGTTTCAGTGCTGATAATGCGACATACTCAAAATCGAATAAAGGTGTTAAATTCCTGGGTATTCTTCTTGACGAAAACTTGAACTGGAATGCTCATTGCCAACATCTAATTCCTAAGCTTAACTCAATAAAATTTCTATTCATAAATCTGCGGACAGTTTTAACTACCACTCAACTAATGAGCATGTATTATGCTCAAGTTGATTCAAGACTGAGGTATGGTGTCTGCTTCTGGGGTGGGTCATCCATGACTCATAATGTATTCATTGCTCAAAAACGCATTATACGTTTTATTGCAAATGTCTCAAGGAGAGAATCTTGCAGACAATTTTTCAAAAATTATCACATCTTGACACTTATATCAGTTTATATATTTGAAATATGCATTTACATATTCAAAAACAAAACACATTTCAAAATGAATAAAAATGTTCATCACCATGACACTAGAACAAAAAATAGATTTCATGTGCCATATGCAAGACTAAGAGTGTCTTCATTTGCACCAGAATACATTGGAATAAAAATATTCGACAAACTGCCCGATCATTTAAGGGAAGAACATAATTTTGTGATGTTTAAGAGAAATTTGAAGAGTTTTTTAATTGAACAATGTTTTTATTCATTGAATGAATTTTTAGATTAGATAAGTAGGGTATTTTAGTTTTAAGGTGATGTTTTCTACTTGTATGTTTCTTATACTCTGTCTTTATTTTTACTTCTTTTATTGACTATTCCTATACAATGTATATTGTCTACATGGAAAATAAAGTATTATTACTGATAAATAGAACAAACCAAAATGTTTGCCCTTTCTACACTTTATATTAAGTTCTCCATTATAATTTTTATATTTTTCAGATTGTGGAATGTAAAAATACCCCAAAAAGGTCGATGAAGAATTGTCTTCACTTTCACAACATTTTCATCGGTTGTTGATGTGTTGGGGCATCTAGGCCGAGCGTCATCATTCACCTTCTGTGAACAGTTTGTACCACTTGGAAGTTGGAAGCCAAGGAACCGAAGGTTCCTTTCTTCTGAGAGATATTGGTCAAAAACTAATTACAGTAACAGGTGATTCAAGATCAAGATCAATTTTAATACAATGAATCAGCACTGCAATTCCGAAAGGATAAACTGCATCAAATCAAATTTGTCCAATATATCTAAATTTTCCAATCGAACAGATTTCTCTTCAGCTTTTCCCATTGAAAATGATCACAATGGAGAGGAAAATAAATTAAACTATTGTTGAGAGAAGTCAGCGGAGGCAAACTAGGTACCAACACCTCCTGGCTTCAGCGGAATAAAAAATGTCAGTAATATGTAGCTTATGAACAGGATAGTCCAATGTTTATCAAACATAAAATAGTTGTTGTTTCATCTAAAAAAGGATGCCTGCATGAATGGTATCAGTAGCACTATTTCTAGTATGAATGATTCTCTGATCAAAGCTGTGCTCAGAAGTGATCAAGAAACTGTGGTTGGCAGAAACTTAAGATAGGTTGGTGAATACACTTTTCATAAAGAACCAAATCCAGAGATTTTATCCTCGGTTTATGGGTAATGCGCGACAACACCCGTTTGCACGTTTCACAAATCACCATCCGAAAATTAAATAAATTTGGTTTCGAAGTTCTGTCTCACCACACACCAACTGACTATCATCTTTTCAAGCACTTCGATAACTTTCTCACCGGTAGAACCTTCGCCAATCAGGACCAGGCAAAAACTGCTTTCTTCGACTTCATTGAATCCTGAGTACACCATTTTTATGCTAACGGAATTAATGAAATTGTGTTACATTGGCAAAAGTGCATTGATTAAATGGTGCTCATTTCAATTAGATTGAATATCTATTCACCGAGATATTACAGTTCAAAAAAGACTCATGAAACAGATAAAACTTGTAAAACAACCTAAGGAAACACTTACAGCTATCCAAAACAACAAGTGCGTGCACTTGAAATACATTCAACCTTTTATTTCTTCTCAAAACCTGAACAAAAACAAAACTACAAAATTTTATCAAAAGTTATACTACAAAGCTCTCAGTATCAACAATTAAATTCACAAAACAAAATATCATGCTCAACTATTCTAAATTATTTGTGTCTTCAGTCTCCTTGGGTGCGTGAGTCTTCAAATGGGTCTGCAAACCATCTCTCCTGTTGAAAGTACTTCCACATATATTACAGTTGAAGCTCTTATTGATATCATGAATACGCATGTGCCTTATCATCTTATCCTTACGTCCAAAGCTTTTGCTACACCTGAAATGATTCATCAGCATTATAATCTGAAGATGAAAGGACCATATCATTAAGAAAAGGCATACTCTTAGGAATTGTAAATAAATAGTGACGTTGCTGAATAAGTGAATTTAAAAAAAAACCATATACAGAGTGTTCCAGAATTCAGTTACCAAGTGATATTTCCAATATGAATATTCTTGTCCCTTTACTTGTTCAAAATCAATAACACTATCTATTATAATTAATAGAGAATTTTCACAATGAATTTTATCAAGAATGTGTTTCACTACATGGTAGCTTTATCCAAAATGCATTGGTAGAATAACTAGAATTAGTTATTCTAAAAAAAGTCACGAATAACACTAATCTGTTTAAAATCTGTTTTTCCGTTAATCAGATGTCGCATCCCTACGAACGACAACCTTCAGAAGTAGAAACTTGTGCGAGCTGAGGATTAACGAGGTCTTACCTTTTAACGTGTGATTCCTAACACGGAATAGAATGAAAAATTTTGACAATCATTAGGAAAAATAATTAGAAATGAAATAGATATCAGTTTAGCCGGATACTGAATGTTCGGCCAACTTTGCAGCCGGATTTTTGGCCAGCTAATATCTGGCGGATATTAGCCGGCTGCTTACGAAGGCGGCGCGCGAACGATAGAGTGCACTCGATACTATTTGGATCTACTTGATTGCAACTTACCTAGACTCGCGATTCAAAACAAAGTACTTAGAGGTGCTTGGGAGGAAGAGACAGAGTCAGCTGTATCTCTCAAAGGTTTAGCCAGGTAGTGTGAATTGATCACAATTGTGACCCTTATTCTTGGTGAGCAGCAAATGTTAAACACTACCCAAATTTGACAAAGTTGGCCAAAATCTATCTTTCACCACCTTGCAGCAGTATGTATAACAATTAACTTTTTTGCTGGCCTTATTTATGAAGAAAGCAAAACCTCTTGCTACCTCTTAATGCAGAGAGGTTAGTATTCATTCACTATAATTTGCCTTTAGTGCAGTATGAGTACTAATTCATTTCCTAAGCTGTAGAATTATTGTGTGATTACTGATTGTATTTCTCAAGTAATACTAACCAAATAAGGCAATCAATTACCTGATAATTTTTTAGTAAATGCGGTATTCAGCCGGATAGTATTTAGGCCACCGTATAGTTACCGGATATCAGTTTTCATCTCTACAAATAATCTTTGATTTCATATTCCTCAGTCAATTGAGCCAGTATGACAAGAAGCAACAGGAAGAGGAACCAAAAACCATAAAAATAAAAATGAACCGTGTCTATCTTTGGAATTGTAGTAAAAAAATCAAACTATGGTTTGTCATACATCAAACCTAAGTAGTAGTAGTTGTAGTTTTATTGTCCAACAGATCATTTTCCATGATATACAACACGTCAACACAAACATGGGGTTCTACAAGGATTCATTATTGGAACCTTAATTATTTTTTATTTATATTAACTCGATTTCTTTGTTGAAGTTAAAATGACCAAGCAAAATTATTTATTGTGGTTTGACTTTGATTCTATGAAAGATGAAGTAAATGATGACTTGAATAAAATTTCTTTCCAGTTCATCTGCATAAAAAAAAAACAAAAACTCACCTAGGACACTTGAAAGGTTTCATACCAGTATGGGTCACAATGTGCCTATCGAGTTCCCTTTTTCGAATGAAAGCCTTGGTGCAGATGTGGCAGCTGAAGGGTCTGTTGCCTGAGTGAGTCGAATGAATCGCTTGATGCTTTATCAAGCTCTCCTCCTTCGAGAACCTCTTTGGACACTGACTGCAACAGAATCTTTCCAGTCTGTCCAGACCATTGTCGGTCCCGTCCATGTTTTCCGGCGAAGATTCCAGAACTGGTTTTTGTTCTTTAATGTCATCTTCTTGGACATCCTCCGGGAGGGGTTTTTCATGATCGTTTTGAAGTTCGTTTTCTGATTCATCACCTCTCTGTGGAGTTGCTTCTGTTGGATAGCTGTCGTGATTAAAGGGATCCAGCGTTATCACCATATTTTCAGAACCTAGAATGAAATTTCTTGTTTTAGCTAGCAAGTGATCAATAAATTAATGGAAAATTTGGAGAATCTCAAAAAAACCCGAAAAAAATCGAAATGTTTTGAATTATTTTCCGAGAAAAAAATCAAATCTTTCTAAACTAATTGGTTCTGTCAAGAGGCTGGGTTTATTTCGTCGATTGTGAATAGGTGTGAGCCACAGTAAATTCTTGCGGGTTGTGGTGGAGAATCGGATAGACCCACTGACTTACGACCTAACCTAACCTAACCTAGTACATGCTGTGAAAAACTAGTTACAAGTTTCACGATGATGCGAATTGAGTAAGGCCTTTGATTGTGTGAAGCATCAGAAATTGATGAAGATATTGGGGAGTTACGCCATAAGAGGTATGCCATTAAACTTGATTTCATGCTTTTCACCAAAGAGGAAATAAATTGTAACACAATAGTCAAATTAAAACCATACGCTCGGATAGTGAGCCTAACCTAACCTATATAACACCTAACCTAACCTATATAACAAATGAGGAATCAACACAATTAGCTTGCCAGAGACTTAATACCTTCGCAATACTTGATTGGATATATTGATCCGAAAGTCCTTCTGCAGAAGATGCTCTAGGAATAGAAAAAGATCACTTTGAATACTTTTGTGAAGACCGCAAACTAGTGCAAAGTTAAATTAAGGATCGGTATACTGAATGACTACTGATCTGTGTGATCAGCCATGAAATCAAAATATTTTCATTTCTCATCATATCAATATCCCATATCCATTTGCCTTAATTAGAGTTTTGATAAAGTGCTGCATTTTTCTTGTGTCATGTGAACAGTTATCAATTTAACGCTTATAATATATAAATTGTTTCTATTTTGAGCATGCCATTTGTTGCATCTCTTTGTATTTCAAATGTTTTGTACATGCTCTTCAATCTCTTTCTGAACACTTGATTCAAGTTAATTAAGTTTTCTCAGTACTTACTTACAACTATTTCTAGATTATATAAGAATCCTTACCATAATGTTTACCATCCTCTTCTTCTTTATTGTCATTAGCGTTCGAGTAAATGGAAAGGTTCTCTCTCAGCATCTGCAACTCTTGCGACTTGTCCTCCGAATTCTCTTGCGGGAAATGCTTCTTCTCGTGCCTCTGCAACTTATCTTTCCTACCGAAGCTCAGATGGCAGTAGTTGCAGTTGAATGGTCTCTGTCCCGAATGAATAATGGCATGACGGGAAAGATCCGCCTTAGATGTGAAGGTCTTGGGGCACTTTGGGCAAACGAACGGTTTGGTTCCGGAGTGTATACGCATGTGCTTGGATAGATTGGTGTTCCTCGAGAAGGACTTGAAGCACACCGTGCACGTGAAGGGCTTCACCCCTGTGTGCACTATGGTGTGCTTCCTTAGATCAGACCGCCTGGCGAAGGTCCTATCGCATTGGGGGCAGTTATAGGGCTTGTCGTTTTTGTGGACGCTCTTCAGGTGAGCAGAGTAAAGCACTCGATCGGCAAAACTCATCAGACAGCTTTTGCAAGTGTACGGGGTGTCGCTGCTGTGGACTGACATTTCATGGCTGGCACATTCGCTGCTGTCTGTGAAAGCGTGGTCACAAAACTTGCACATGGAGACACCTCTGCCTTCCGGTTCGATATCATTTGTTTCACAGTTTTCATTCTCACTCTGAGGTTCCTTCTCAGACTCATAGTCTGATTCGTAATCTAACGCGTTGGGATCGACGACCATGATGACATTTTCATCGTCGCCGGCTGAAAAAATAGACTCAATAATATTAATCCCCACTGTTCAAGACCATAGGAAATCACTGACTGAATTAAACTGTGGTATAAAAGCTTGAGAACATCAAGAGAGACTGTTTTAACCGACGAAGTAAATATATATGTTTACTGAGCTTTAGTTTGACACCATCAACATGGAACTTCCAGGTGATATTATTATCAAAATCAACACCTAACAATTTAGTACAATTAACTTGATGTAAAGTTTCATTATTTAATCTAACCAAATAGTTTTATCAATTGTTTTATTTTTAGTAACAAAGTTGAACATTTGAGATTTTGCAGAATTTAGCAGCTGGCCATTTATAGAACACCACTCAGAAATTTGATGAGTTACTTCATTACCTTTGACAATTACTTCGGACATAGTTCCCACAGATACCAAAATGTTAGTGTTGTCCACAAAAATAACAGTAATGAAAGCTTTTGAACAAAATTTCGGAATATCATTTATAAAAACCAAAAATAAAAGGGGTCCCAAAACAGAGCTTCGAGCTACCCCTCTTGATATACATTTTCTTTCAGAATTCATTCCATTCACATAGACCAGCTGACTACAATCCAACCTAATTCAATGCAGAGCCACGGGTACCATAAAACTGCAATTTGTCTTACACATCTGTACTATAACTATCAGATAAATATAAGGATAATTTATTAAAGAAATAAGAAAGGCAAAAACAAGCCAATCAATCACAATCTTGACAGTCTTTTTAAATGATTCCAAAAAAGAAGTTAAAAGTTTTAAATCTACATTGTAAGTGTTAGCAAGTCTTAAAATCTACCTATAGACTCATTCTGACCATAGTTAGTATGATTTCTGTATTTCTTGTTCTCTTTGAATTCACATTTAAAGTTATAAGTTCAACAAGTTATGGGGAATTAATGTTACTATTGATTATTTTGTGAATTACTGTCAGATCAGATTCTAATCTTCTATTCAAGTTAGGAATGTCCAATATAGTTTTGTAGTTATATTTACCGATATGATATCCCAGTTTGTATGCATAGTACCATATAAACTTGTTTGGAACACTTTCAAGGAACAATAGCACATTATATGAAGGGCACCAAATTGTGGAGTTGTATTCTATTATTGGTCTAACAATTGAGCAATATATGATTTTTAAGGAAGAAAGAAAGAGTGAAACCTAATATTTTTAGTGCTCTAGAAGTAACATTTGCAATATGGGGCTTCAACCCCATTTTGATGACATAATCCTCGTGATGATTTATATCACATTTATTATCCCTGAGAATACCTTAGTCCCAGCTGATAATACTACGTAACTTTTATAACTAAAATTAAACTTTAATTTTCAAGTTCCAATGTTTTCAAATGTTAATATTCTGAAAGGTAGATGCACCATGTTTTTCAACTGGAGTTATTCATAAAAATATGAATAATCTAGCTGACCTGGCAAACTTCGTACTGCTAGTTATAACCGCTAGTTATCAGTTGTCTGTTATAAACATAACATGACTGCAAGTTGTAAAATTAAAAATGACCTATACAAAAGCCTCAAAGAATGAGGAACGAAAGCCATAACATTTTAAGTTAAACCCATTACATATTTATTTACAAATAAACATTTTCTTTGCCTAACATTCCAAAATAACTAGAATTTGTTTTTACTTGATGAAATTTTATATTTGATCATGAAATTGCAAAACGAACAGGTTTTCAAACACTAATTTTTGATTTTTCAGAGACAATGCCAATTTTGATGGATGACAAATATCTGGTAACCAGGCATGTATGGTGAAGTATAATTCATGTTCATATGAAAGTATTTATTTAAAGTATTTTTTTTGTAATGCAATGTTTATATGAAAGTAGCTGTTTCAGAAGGAATTTTTCTTCCAGTTTGTGTCTGAAAGTTACTTCTTTGCATTATCTACACATCTTTGTGAAAGGTTTCTTTTGAAATTAATTGCTTCCTTCCCTTCTTTGGAAGATTCCCTCATTTTTCCAATAGATACTGAATATTATGAATTAATTACCTGCTGCTTCCAACTGTCTATACAGGGGTAGATGCGAGTTGTTTGTTGCGTCAGAACCATTTTCTTTGTTAGCAACACCAGCTATCTGCCGAAGTGTCGCATCTGACATAAAACATAGTTGTCTAAATTCCAGACAGAATTCGATTTTGTAGAGACATCGATGACAGATAACGTTGGGAAGTCCGTCTCCTTGAGAAATCTGAAACAAATATGTAATTTTAAACAAGAGTTAACAAATGTTAGTAAAAATGAATAACAGTTTTTTGAGAATATGAGAATTCACCTAATGAACTAGGAAAGTTTCTTTGAGGTTTTAAGAAAATTGTTTTTTAGATTTTTCATTATTCTTGTCAATTTATTGAAAACTTCCAAACACATTAAAATCTGACTATTTATAACTATGTATTGTAATCATGCATTTTGGAATTATTCATGAATTGAATATTACCTTACAGAAGAATTTTTATTAATTCACACGTGAAATCAACTTTCTCTAATAGTATTCGATGACTTGTAGTCATATTTTCAGTGAAACTGTATAATTCAAGAAGGCCCCATAGTTTCATTCATTAGAAGTTGAATTACATTTTTTGTCATTTGATGCATTATAAATTAGAATTTGTATATGAAAATCTGCTGTGTTTCAAACAGTGATATAATTGAAGTTTCAATATTATTTATATGTTATTCAAGTAACACTTTATTGTAAGACTTTCTGGATAGTTCACAAAACCGCAACACGTGTTTCATTGTACAACAGCCTCAAGTGTTATCATTAGAAAATAAATATTTCAAAATGAAATGTAGAGGTATTTATCTCTCCCAACTACCTACTTCTCCGGCTAATATCACACTGGATATTGAATTACATCTGACAGACATTCATGTCAGTCGGATGTATATGATTATTAATATGATTTACAACATTCAAATTGTTGATTATTGGACTTGAATATCAACTTGGTTGATTAGTTTATACTCAAGTTAAAACTGTATATTACACATTTGAGCACAATATACCCAGAGTATTGGGCATTTTAAATTTCAATACTTAAGTAGATACTTCAAATCTTGTTAATCAATATTTAGTACTGAATACTTGAGTAAATAAAGGCTGAGTATTTTTTTGGCATTTCTGACATATGGAGTATTTCTTAAATATGTATATGAAGTACTAACTGGTATCTAATACTTGAGTACTTTTGTTCATTACTTAAAACAGTTCTGCTATACTTGAACCTATGAAACAATTTTTTTCTTTACATGCATAATAAAAACACTCTATCAAGTCAATTTCACATATTGTTTTACTTGTAGATACATAAGAACATGAATTATTTTCAAACATTTTCGGAAAAAAGCAATCATTATTAGCTACACTTTTTCAGTTCAATGTTAAAGAAAATTTTAATGTATGCTACATTTCTAAGACAGTAGTTTATAAACCAGTTATCGAAAATGGTAAAACTCGTTACATGTCAAGTTTTTATTCTCTTTTGTAATCTAAAGGCTTTTAGTGCAAGCCTAGCGGATTCGTAGTCACGCCGAACCTCTGAAAAATCTATTTTCTGAAAAGCTTCATAAACAATGTTTAAGATCGGTTTTTGTGATATACTTGGGAAGCCGGAAGCCGTTACTTACACGTTCAACCACAACTCGAAAGTAGAAAATTAGATGCAGATAAGAATAAGTTTTGTTGGTACATTATATTATGGAAAATTAGTTTTTCAATATTCAGTATAACTACACGTTACGATGTTGCCGAATATTTCCCAATTTCATGGCTAGTTCAATCCTGACTCCATGAAATTGGTAAAAAAAGAGACCTAGGACAATGGAAGATCAAATTGTTGCTCATGTTCGGATTTATTATTATTAAATGCACTTTCGATGGCCAACATCCTGATCGTGAGTTGAAATGAAAGAAATTTGGAAAATAAATCTGACAATGATGTTTAAAATACAGACAGGTGACGCGTATATGACATGAATGACATGACAATTTGTCGGTAAAGCGGGAAACTGTATAGATGAATGAATAACCAACATTCTGTTCTGATAATAAAATTATATGACAAAATGGAGCCTTATCACCGTGTTCCAACGGAACTGTTCAACGTATGCTCCGTTCACGAACAAATAGGTAAACAAATTTCATTTTACAAATCACGCCAAACGTCAAAAAGCTGTCTTACCTGTAGTGCCGTACAATCGATTATTTTCTTGTGAATGCTCCTGTCTTTTCCTTGAATGTGGTTAAAGATGCCCAACATGTACCCGTCCTTTTGCAAACACAACCGACATATCGTTGCATAAGTCCTCCAAGGTTCCATCGCGATCATGAGAATTTGAAAACGCCACGAACCAAATTAAATGATTACCAGTGCTTTGTTGAATGTATCAACCTGGCAACGAGTGTCACTACGTGGGGCACAGCCGACAAACGAGTACTGAGACAAACTGAGGGCGAATGCGAAGACTTGCGCCGGCCCCCTTCTCGGGTGCTCCCGGGTATCTACTGCAGCTGTCCCTATTGGCGGTAACGTTCGAATTGGTACCTGTTGTGGGATTTCGGAAAAAGGGGGCCTTATCTGCATTGAAAAGGGATTAATTTTCGGGGTTAGGTAAACATGACAAATCTAGCAAATTTCCAGTTAATGTGATTTGATGGAAGAATTGTTTGTACCTGAAGTGGGCTATATTATTTTGCCTAAATTGAAATTGAGGATGTAGGTATGATAATATACCATGTGTTTCAAAAGTAGAGCATATTTTTCAAATTAGTGGATATGACAGTGATTTACAATGGAATATGAGACTGACTCTATTGGTGGCTCTTAAGCACATCTAAATTAAATATTTCCCAGTTTTTTTTTAATGAATATTTAGTTGTATCAAATAAAATATCCCAAAATGCAAATGACATCATTATTTTTGGTTGGAGAGGTTGAATTTTGGAGTTTATTCGTAGCTTAGCCAGGACCGTACCTAGCTATCTGTGGTTCCACAGCCCTTCAAAATATTGGAGTTGGATTTCTTAAGTTATTTTCATAGTTAGGAATGCAGCTAGTTCAATCTTGTGAACACTGAATAACTTTTTATTGGTTTTGATATGTTTAGGTCTTGATAAAAAATGCAACTGTAGTGAGTGGTTTGACTAATTCGAAAAAAATGTTTTCATTTCTTCAGAAAATGTCTTAAAAATGTTCGCGTGTAATTCATACGCGTTGAGAAATTACGCCTATTCCCTTAATTTATAAAATTAGTATAAACCATGAGTCGACTGTTCAATGCCAAAACACACTCGCCTACATGATAACGAAAAGTGAACTGGACGAGATCTGTTCAAAAAATAAGGTGAATTTTAATTGTCCTGAAAAAATATTTATTTATTCATCGATTCATATTTTTTCCCCTTCAAAGTAGTCCCTCCCAGATATAATACACTTATGCCAACTTTTTTCCAATTTTCGAAGCAGTTCTGATATGCACTTTTTGATATGTCCTTGAGCTCCCTCAGCGATTCGGGTTTTATCTCCACAATCGTCTCAGCCGCCGTTCTTTCATGGGTCTCTTCAATCGTGTGAACAGGAAAAAGTCGAAGGGAGCTAAATCTGGCGAACACGATGGCTGTTTTTGGCCAAACAAATTTACAAACAGTCAATGACGAGAAAACAGTGAGCAAAACCTTGATATTTGATCGATCTTGGCGTGGTTTTTTGGTCTTGGCTCTCCTGGGCTCTTCCATTGGGACAATTAGACTTTGGTTTCGATGTCATAACCATATATCCATGATTCCGTCACCACTTATGACACTTTCAAGCAAATCTGGATCGTCGTTGACGTCATTCAACAATTCCTTAGCGATGCTCATGCGACGGTTATTCAAGGTCGAAGGTCACAAAAATCATTTATCAGTTAATACTTCAATACAATTTGCATATAGGTAATATTTGAAAATGATGGGACATATGTCATCAATGGTGGATTTTTTCTGCATCGTGTCGTATGGAGTACAAGCAATACTTTTTCAGTAGTTCTGGATACTTATCTACGTTAAGTATTTTCAAAAACTGTTGTATTTGATGAATAGTCAGACTACACTTAAAACATCAAAAAAAGCAATGGAACAACTGACAAAAACAGCCACTCTTTCGAAATCATATGAACTTTGTTTCGACGAAACAATGACTGTGCCAATTAATCACAAAAACTTTTTGTCACACCAATATAATAAAAAAAATTATTGTTATAGTAATTGAAAAGACAGAGAATGTAAATATAACAAAACAAGTATGAAATGATGCTGATGCACTCATCACAAAAGCAGCTATCGAAGAATCCTCACATCATTGTAGAAAACAGATTTACTCGTTATTTTAATTGGACGCACTCAACTACTTCAAGAAGACATTTTTTTTTTGAAATAGTTGGAAAGGGCACAAATCTATTCGCAAAAAAGGTCTGACAAATATCCCCATTCAAAAAAACATAATTTTTACATACATTCAGTGGCATTACTTCTCCGCTGTTTAAAACATTTAAGACTACATGATTTTATACCATGTGTATCAAAAGTAAATCTTCTCTTTTAAACCGAATGTGATAGTTATTCACAATCAAATGTAGACTCAAGTGGCGGCTCTCGTTTGCATGAATCCTTATGCCTTACACCAAAATTAAATAAAAAAAAACTAATCAATACAATTTATTGTATGATTCTCACTATAAAAGGGTTTTACAAAATCCGCGACACGTGTTTCGCTAGACAATAGCAATACAATAGTATTGATTAGTTTTTCAATATGGATTTTCATCAAGTATTGGCCAGTTCTATTCAATTCCCAAATTAAATATTTCTGTTCTATAATATCCCAAACCGGCTTATTATCATTTGCAATTTTGCGTGCTAATTTTTCAGACCTGCTACTGAAACTAATTTATGTGATATAATTTTTTTAAATCCATGCCATCAGAAACCTTTTAAATACTGGGACTGGTATAATAATTTCGCTGAATAGAACTGGGGTAGCTATAAAATACTTTACAAAATTTGGTAATTGGTACGCTTGCTGGTTTTTTTTTAATTAGTATTTGAGTTCCTACTCCACGTATGTATTTGAACTTGAATGAAACTTGATGACATAACACTCTTGAAATAAATTTTCAAAGTTAATTTGAATTTGGCAAAAAATGTTTTTTTTCTAAAACTCCTAGTTGTATATTTTGCATTTTTATTTTTTTACTCAGAATATTCATATATTATTCAAACAAAAAACAACTTCAATATTGAATACCCAATTTGATATCGATAAAAATGACTTTTTAATACAAAATTTTTCGTAAAATGACAAAAGTGAATTGGGAAGCAGAGGCAAAATAATTCCTTTATAGATTTACTTATTCTAAACGTCCATTTTGATAAAAGTACTCAAATGTTGTCAAAATTATTCGGAAAGTGGTGGTGCTACCACCCCTCCTATGAAATTTCCGAAAACAACGGGGGTACATGTGATAACTAATTTGAAAAGATTTTCATTAATTTATTAACAAATATAGAGTTGCTAATTTTGTGAAAGAACAAATTTAAAAATTTCAAGGCGTATTTGAACGTCCAAATGAAGTTATTGATTCTCGAATCATTCCGACCATAATTTTTGACAGAGCGCGTTTGGCATTTTAGCAAAATTTTTCTGTTACTCAGCAAAAAATAATTTTGCCAAATCACGACAACTCTAATTTATTTGATAGAACTAGTTGATGTCACAGTGGCGGACCTAGACCAATTATGGTAACGGCCTATTTCGGGATGAAATTGAGTGGCCTGCCCGTCCTCCCGATTCAACTCCGTCATACTACTTTGAAGGGGTTATTTTTAATCTGAAGTTACTACAACAGAGCAATCAACGGTTTGAAAGACAGAGAATCAACGCCTCTTCCCTAGTGTCATAAAGCGCTCAGTTTGAAAATTTTATTCGACATATTCTGTGTTCTTGGAAAATATTATTCTAGCATAATTTTCATAAGTACTAAATGCGGCTCTTCGGAACATCCCTCCTCCACTTTTGCCGTCAAACAGTAGACCATTCAGAAGCTACCGCCCGCACAGCAGGAAATTCAAATCAGTAGATGAGCAAACTTGTTCCGAGCGCATTTCAAGGTCACGCGTCGTTGGTTAATGTTTTAGAGAGAGGCTTTAGTGTGTGGCAGAGAGAAACGTGTGAGGGTTGCAGAAGGTGTATATATTTTCTTAAAAAGAGGTTGATTGGGTAACAGGATCAAGTTTTTTTTTTTAAAACAATTGTATTTTTGCCGAAGTTTCGAATGTAATTAAATTCTTCTTCTTGAATTCGAAATGTCGGCAAGAATACAATTGTTTTATTAAGAAAAAATTGATCCTGTTATCCAACCAACCCCTTTTTCAGAAAAATGATTGGATCACTGAACTAGTTAACTTTATATATTTTCTATTCGGGGTATTAAGGATACTCTGATCCTGAAACAGAGTATCTGCTCCGAACTACAAAACTGTACACATCTCAGCAACTCTTGATGTTTTATAAAGCTCAGATCAAACCTTCTTTGGAGTATTGTTCTCATGTATGGAGTTTCGCCCCTAAGCATATCCCGCTGGATTCCATCCAGAAAAAAACCATTTGATTCCACCAAGAGCAGTACATATCAGAAATACGCGGCGGACTGTGGCTGCTAATCGTTTTGAGCGATTCAAATCCTATGTGAATCGCTATTTTCGCACAGACACCGCCCTCAGAGCGCCTTAAGGATTTTTCTGTAGTGCTTGTGTTTTGTCCTTGAAAAAATAGGTTAGGATCAGTGAAATTGATCCCGATAGTCGAATTGAAGAGAACTGATCCGGGTCCAAGTTTTGCTTGGCCACCGTAAACTTGTAATTGGATTGCAAATAAGAAATGGGATCATTGGTATCAGTCCGAATCAGTCGCTGACTCGGTATCGAAACGTATTCCTAGCCAACAGATCGGAATCGGATCAATTGATTCTGATCCACAAAATTTACAGGATCATCACAGGATCAGCATTCTCTACAGGGCATACATAAAAAAATGAATTTTTCCTATTAACTGAGCAAACATGAACAGAATACATTTTCACCTGAAATGATTTATTTTATGAATATATAATATTCCTCCGGTTAGCAACTAAACCGACCGCCACTGTTTTATGGTCCAATTTACTTTCCGTAAACAAACAAAGTTATGCTGCCTTCGAAGTAAGGATGGAAAAGGCCTCTCTATTGTCTTTAGTTACTCTGAGCATTTAGTCAATAAAACAGATATGTTTTTATGTTGGCATTATGCTTTTACATTTTCCATGTATGCCAACTGAGAAATGAATACCCGGTACAGGTACCTAATTACCTGTGTAGATATTGTATAAGGAGACAATGGTATGTTCAATCATCAGTTTTGATTCAATAATAGTGAGAGCACAATCTTCATCTAAGGGCAAAATGGACAACAGAGGAAATGGAGGAAATCGAAGACGTCGCTTCAAAGAACTTCAACGGTGTGCCATTGAGATCCGATTTATATTTGACCACATAGACATTATGAGAACCAGGGCTATGCATCTTTTGAACAAATTTGAATTGCGAGATGACTCGGAAGCCACAAGACGATTGATTGCCGATAAAATGGTAAAAAAGTTCATCAAAAATGTCCTCAATAGACACGGAGTAGAGGCAGATGAGCGTTTTACACTTGCTACTCAGGTGCTTTCAACTAGTATCAGGGGAGAAAGGCTACGAAGGGACATATTTTTGTGGTGAAGTGCGAAAACAGCATGTGAATCGTTAAGGCAGAGATATATGTGACTGATGATTTTAGAAAAGTTTCAATTGAAGTTTTCTATTTGGTGGTATCTAATGTTATTATACATAAATGTGTTAGAAATAAATTTTTCATTCATTCATTCATTTATTTTATTTATTTATACAAACAGGCTAATCTTACTTATTACTTTGATATAACATTAAGAAAATATATAATTTTGGTTAAAGTATTTTGGTATTNGAATTATAAAATCTATAATGTCCCAAGGGAGTTATGACCCTCTTTATTGATAGCGTAACTATGACGATATAAGCTTATAATATCCCGGTCAGAAATAAAAACCTTTAGATGTTCGTCTAATAAAATCATTGAAAAAGCAAAATACGACTGTTACAAATGCAATGAAATTCATAAGGGAGAAATTGAATACTTCCGGCCATAGGTAACGTGAGCTGCTGTGGCAAAACTCTTCAGAATTGGATGAAGAAACTAGGATTTAGATTTAAAATAATAAACGTCAAGTAGTTATAGAAAGCAGAAGAATAGTAGAATTTCGTAACAAATACTCAGAACAAATAACTAAATATTGACAAGAACGTCAAATTTTCTCTTGGGACGAAACTTGGTATGACACAGTTACGAAAGGGTAAACTGTTGGTCCGAGAATGTGTACCCCTAACATGACTGCAATTATGTGGAACAACTTGAGGACTGCAATGTTGGCTATCATAAGAACGTGGAAGCTAATATTTTCGAAGAATAGTTTGAAAACACATTGACCCTAAATTTGGATGCGTATAGTGTAAGTTCTATTTTTGTGTTTTCAATCCCATCGAGTTTATTTGGTGAAAATTGGAACAAAGCTTCAGGCGTAAAAATAATTTTTCAAAATTTGATAAGAAGGTAATAGAACTAAATAAAGAAGAAGTATCCAATATTACCGAAGAAGACTGACAGAAAAGGAATATAATAATCACGTTGTTTTTGATAGTAACCCAAATGTCTTAAATGGGATTCAAATCCGGATGCTAGGGTAGACGTCGTAAAACGTTATGTCCGTGTTCAAGCAGAACCTCATCAAATTTGTATCTAATATGATGCTTTTTATGTACCTTGATTAACTCGTATAATCCAGGTTTGACCATGTTAGGGGTGAACATAATGCTTTTTTCATGCACCACTCCACAATGTCAGCCTTCCTAGAATTTGTGTGGGAAGCTGGATTAATTTGTATTTGAAGCGTTATCGGTCACGACTACCGAATTCACAGGTAAATTTGAGATGACCTTTTTTGTTACCGTTTACCATAATTTTCAGAATTCATTTCTGAGTGATAAACCCCTGATGTTGTGCCTGATTTGAATATAAGCCAACAAATAGGTATAAAGCTCATATCACCGCCTGCATGGATAATAATGAGTTTCCGTCCTTTCGCAATATTTTCAAATAACCCTTTGGTTGATCCATCCGTCCAGTTCTTGGAAGATGTATGTCCACTATGAAGGTATATTTCATCAAGAAACACAATTTGTCGCTGTTGACTACGAAAATAATTGATTTTTTGTAAATACTGTTTTCAGCCATGTTCATTTGAACCCAAATTTCTTTAAAATTCTACGAAGAGATGTTTTCGGTCTGCTGAAGTGAAATATAAAAATCTTTTTAATTTACTCCGCGCCGGCACCCAGGCCGGGTGGGGTGGATACACGCTAAACGCAGCAGCTCAATGAGAAAACAAAAACCACCTCGGTGATAGAAAGGTACTCAAGTAGAAGACAACAATAAAAAAGTGTGAATGTGATTCATGGGAAAATGAGAAACTTTAACAAAAAACATGGGTTGGCAATCTACAGGAAGACAGTTGTGACCTCCGACGAAGCTTCTGTTATTTCGTAACCGTTTCATTATCTACAAATCCAAGAAAGACTTTCGCAGGAACATCAAATGTCATTCTTTCTCAGGTCTCAGGTTCAACAAATAGCAATAAATTAAGCAATTACTGATGTACAGTAGTGAATTGAATTTGTAAAATACTGTGTAACATTCGTCAATTATTGTTTCAGTTGGAAAATGAAATAGTACTGTTTAATTTTACTTAGTGTTATTATTCACGAACCCAATAAACATTTAGTAGTAACATAAAAAGTCGTTTTTTCTCATCTTTCAACTCTTTATTTGTTAACAAAATATTTACAATACACCATTACTTTTAACCCCTGTAATTCGAATAAACCGGTAAAGAAGTCGATGGTCCGAATTTCCTTTCTTCTTGGTATTGAGGAACAGCACAGCCAGTAACGTTCTCGATTCCGTCGCATTCGTTGGTGAGGTCGTTGAATGCCTTTCCTTCTCCGCAGTTGTACAACCTTGGCTTATTTTCGATACAGATGAAGTACCTTTGACAATCTTTGGGGGATCGGAAGGACCTGTACTCTTCCTGGCCCAAACCAAAGTCCTTGGCGCTTGGTGGACAGCTGAATCCTAAGTAAGCTGAAACGGAAGAAAACGGGGCTAAGTTACATGTTGAGTGGATAATAAACACACCAACAAATACTGTATATTATGAATGAAAAAAAAAGGTAATCCATTTAGGAGGTTGTGGAGACTCTTGTGGTGTTACAAATCATAATACTTTTGTTGGAACATAGTTGATGTTTCTCTTTGACTAAACTTAATTGACAGATTTAAAATCCTGAGATTGCAGAAATGAGTAGGTACTATTGAAAATTATAAAGTGATATTGAAATTAAGTATAAAGAAAAATGGCAGAATTTTCTTGAAGTTGTCTAATAAATAATACTGATTGTATTTTTTTAATTTGGCTGATTTTAACATTTTTGTAACTTATCATTTCTTTCAACGTATTATGTCTTACCAAGCATAGGAAGAATAATTGAGTGGTTTATGTGATGTTGAAATGTTATATCTGATGAAAATATTTTGTATGTTCATCATTTAAAATTGTACGCAGTGATTTTTAATTCAATTCTGGTTCAGCTGATTCGGGTCATTATTATTTTAAGGTGAACCTTGGTGAACAACCCAGCTGCAGGAGTACGATTCAAATAACTCTTCGTACATAACTTCTTATAAGACTGGATAGCTTGTCAAGGTGGAGTTGTAATTTATTTTCAGGTTTTTTTTATGCAACTGAAAGGCTAAAGCCCTTTTATATTATAGTGTTATTTTTACAATTTTCATTTAACTTTATCAGCACAAGAGCTCAGTAATATTCAAAATTAACATCCACATACTATAGTAACACGAGTGTTTTATATACTATATTTTTGTTGAATAATAATGAATATGCAAATTTAAGTAACAATGAAAAATGAGAATTGAAACTTTCTCTGTTTCTTACCACTTTTATTTGTAATTAACGTTACCGCAGTTTCGTCCTATAAGGAAATTTTCAAACTTATACATTAAACTAAAAATGATTGATTACATTAGCCCTTATATAACATCACTATTCGTAATAATAAAGGTACTTACCTACAGTTATGTTATATAAGGGCTAATGTATTCAAACATTTTCAGTTTAATGTATAAGTTTGAAAATGTTATAGGACGAAACTAAATTAACGTTAGTAACAAATAAAAGTGGTAGAAAAAAGAAAGTTTCAATTCTCATTTTTTATGATGATTTCCTACCTTGTAGTGATGGCTACATCCATTAATTTATTCAGGTAACAATTATTTCAAAATGTAATATCCTAATTTAGTGGCAAATGATATCAAACTATTTATTTAAATTATGCACCGCTTTTATCTACACGAATTCCAAAGGTAAACTGTTGAATATAGTCCTTTACTAAAAAATGTTTAAATTTTCAAATTAGGGTTTATATAAGAGCCATTCAAATAAATTCTACGAGTGCCAAGGTCATGTATATTATCAATTCATGTTAATTGATCTGAGAGATAAAATGGTGAAATATTATTTTTCAATTTGAATATGAATATTAACATATAGTTATTTCTTTGTCTAACTGACATCAGCATTGAAGTATTCAATGGGGATGCGTTCATTACACTTATTGTTTGATTTTGTAAAATATTGAATTGTTCATTATTGATAATATTGAATTATACTACAATCGGCAAAATGTGATGCAACTATTGACTTTCAAAAATTGAAGTATAAAAATTTTCAAAAATTTTTATACTTCATTATTCAATCTGTACGTAAAAAGGATTTTTTTGTATTTTTTCAATATAGTCAACACGTACAATCATATTCAACTTTTGATCTCTTAACACTCTTTCGCCTGTTAGCTTTTTTCGTGGCTTGTATGGCTAATTCAAAATTTGTATTTGTTTGTTCAATTCGACTTTTAGTTCAAAATAACAATAATTTGGAAATCCTTACATTCAACTTCGAACCATTACCATAAAGCCATGTACCAAAAGAATTGGTCCCATAGTTGAACCTTGTGGCATTCCAGTATTTGTTTCTGTTTTTTCTGAATACTTATCATTGAATTTTACTACTTATTCTCTCTTTGTCAAAAAACTTGTGAAAATGTTGATAATGCAATGTTTTATCAAGGAACTGAGCGTTATCGGGAAGATATTCGAACTAAATTGTATGTACTTCTTGGCTGAATAGTCCGGGAGCCAGTACCAAATTTTTGCTACCAATTCATTTCCAACCGATAATTTCAAGATTGCTCCATATAATTGTGTTTTTAAACGTCTTTGAAAATATCTTTTTTGCTTTTGCCATACCATATCCTGCAGTAACTGCCTATGCAGATGATATTAGTTTGGTAATATCTGCCAAAGCGACGAATGAATTAACACGAAAATGTGAATATACTCTGGATGTAGTTTCAAGTTATTTCAATAGTCACGACCTGTTTTTCAATGTGAAAAACACAGAGTTAATCCGCTTTCACAACTATCAGAATAAAACCGATGATATTCAGGTGATTGTTAATGACTCTATTTTGAGAAACACTCATGATGCTCTTAAATTCCTAGACATTCAAATGGATGAGAGTCTTTCTTGGAATGAGCACTGTGATCAACTAGATTCAAAATTGAGTTCTATAACCTATCTTTTCATTAACTTGAGAAATGTTCTCAACATAACCAACTTATGGCTGTTTATGTCCAAGTCGAATCCAGGTTGCGCTATGGTGTATGTCTGTGGGGCAACTCTGCAAATAGTAAAAATGTATTTATCCAAGAAAAAGCTATACCACGCTGTTTGTTCAACGTTCGTCGACAGTATTCATGTAGAAACATTTTCGTTAAACACGAAATTTTAACTCTGATTGGATTATATATTTATGAGTTTATGTTTTCACTAACAGGAATGACTTCATTCTCAATAGCGATATTCATGATGAACACATTCGGCAGTAGCAAATGATACGAGTTAGAGCGGCTAAATATAAGATAACTCAAAGTGCACCAAAACGTATAGGACCTCGAATTTACAACTGTTTACCAAGTAAATTGAAGTCAATATGCAGCCTTTCGTTGTTTGGCCACTATTGTTTATCAAAAATATAGACAGGAAAATACCATATTCTGCAGTAACTGTCTATGCAGATGATATTAGTTTGGTGATATCTGCCACAGCGACGAACGAATTAACACGAGAATGTGAATATACTCTAGAGATAGTTTCAAGTTATTTCAATAGTCACGACCTGTTTTTCAATGTGAAAAACACACAGTTAATCCGCTTTCACAACTATCAGAATAAAACCGATGATATTCAGATGATTGTTAATGACTCTATTTTGAGAAACACCCATGATGCTGTTAAATTCCTAGACATTCAAATGAATGAGAGTCTGTCTTGGAATGAGCACTGTGATCAACTAGATTCAAAATTGAGTTCTATAACCTATCTTTTCATTAACTCGAGAAATGTTCTCAACATAACCAACTTATGGCTGTTTATGGTGTATGTCTGTGGGGCAACTCTGCAAAGAGTAAAAATGTATTCATCCAAGAAAAAGCTATACCACGTTCGTCGACAGTATTCACGCAGAAACATTTTCGTTACAAACGAAATTTTAACTCTGGTTGGATTATATATTTATGAGTTGTCAGTTTATGTTTTCACTAACATGAATGACTTCATTCTCAATAGCGATATTCATGATAAACACATTCGGCAGTAGCAAATGATACGCGTTACCATTTCTGTATAATGTCAAATATTATCTGCGGTACCATGAATGGGTGGGATAACATCTTTCACTGATGCAGCTGACGAATTTTCCTTTTAGTCACAACCAGCTGACGATTGTTATTATTTGAAATACTACACAAACTGTCATTCGACAAGATTTCAGCCAAAAATAAATAAAAAAAAAGTATATCTTCGTACACCTGAGAGCCAGCTCATTTTTTTTTCAATTTCTATATTAGGTAAAATATTATCCAACAAATTTTCAAACAGGAGTGAATCACTGAAAACAGTATTTGTTGATGTGTCGTATGTCCTAGAACTATCGGTTGGAAATCTATCACTGATTCTCGGGCTGAAAAGTCATTATTGCCAAAGTATGGAATACGGAACAATAATCTAAATACAAAAATTCACTTAGGTTGAGAAAGCGAATGCTACTTTTTGGTTAGAAGTTGAATCATACCTTCAGCATCGCAGGAAGCCACTTTATCAGGCCAGTCGCATCGGTAGGAATCTGAATTGAACGCTAGACCTTCGGGACAATCGAAAACGTAAGCGTGTCCATCAACGCAGTTCTTGAATTGACCGCAGTTTTGGGCATCTCCCATTCGATAGTACCCGTATTGGTGTGGGCATTCATCGGTGGCTTGAGGAGTCTCTGAAAATGAATAGTAACTTTATGAATCACATTGTATTCCATTTGAAACGAGCCACTCTCAATCAGTCTTTCAATTTTGTATCCAACCGTGTAACATGTTTGGAATTACATTGATGAACAATAAACAATAACAACGAGGAAATACTCTTTTAAGTGTTTATTAAAGCCTGAACTAGATAGTCAACCTAAACACACAATTTCATTATAGTACAGGATCCCGCCGCAAAATCACTACGTTCATAGCGTAGTTAATCAAACTAAAATTTTTACATACCTTTATGAATAGGAAAATACATTTATGACAGGTTGCCAGGCAAAAAGTGGCCGCTAATATTTTTATTTGAAAAAATCAATAAATTGATGGATGTAGCTTTTACTACGTGGTAGGAAATCATAATGAAGAAAAGAGAAATGAAACTTTCTATATTGTTTACCACTTTTATTTGTAACTAACGTTACTGCAGTTTCGTCCTCTACGGACATTTTATTGTATAAACTGCAGTAACGTTAGTTACAAATAAAAGTGATAAAAAACATAGAAAGTTTCATTTTTCTTTTCTTCATTACGAAAAAATCAAGCAACTAAAATACTTCATGGAGTAAGAGCCGGGTCAATCCCTCTACGAAAACCTTCATCACTTGGAAGGATGGAAAATAGTCATGAAATAATTCAAATTCATTCAAGCAAATACATGAATTGAAAGATGTTTCAACCCCAACTTCAATATTCTAAAACAAAAACGCTCAGTATTCACAATTCCATCTTTTGATATTCCCAGTTCATAGACATCAAAATTAATACGATTACAGGATATGGAAATATAAAACAATCTTCAAATACGCAAAGTTGTATTGATGCGTATTAAGCACTTTACCTTAGTAATGTGACCAGAGGAAAGTTGCAACCTCAGCATATTAATCTTTATAAATCTTGAGGTAGGTCAAGATCAACAGAAAGTACTGAGAAATTCATTCAGTATTCATTGATCACTTTCCAGAAACGGTTCCAGATCATTTTAAGAATGCAGCACATCTCCCTTTCATCGTTCTTGCTGGGTAGCAGTATGATGAAATTTTTTGGTGATTCTTTGTATCTTTCTTAACTATTTCATTAATTACCTTTAGTGTAATTTTTTCATTTTCATCATTATAAATATTTCATTCAGTTTTAAATGAGTCCTTTAATTATTTGAAAAAGAAGAAAATCTGTATATTTCAGAGCTGATGGTAAATCATTGATGAAAGTTATGAAAAGAAGTAGACCTAGATTCGATCCTTGTGGTACACTTGATTCAGCTGGAAATTTATCTGAAATTTTTCAGTTATATTTGACAATGAAAAACCGATTCTGAGGATAATTCTCCGTTAGTTTAATTTTTTATTTCATATTTACTCAATCATTATGAAATTTGTTTTCAGATTTCTTATACTTTATTTGGTTTCCCTGATATAGCCATTGTAAGTACATACATACATGTAGATGGAGCTGAAGAAGTTTTACTTTAGTCGTGTGGTTCGAAGCACACTCGCTTTTTTTAACTAAAAATATTTACGGCCACATTTTGACTGGCACCCTGTCGTAAATGTATTATCCTATTCACAAATGTATGTTGATTTGCGAAATTTCGTTGCGGATATTTTAGTCTTGAAGATGAGTCCCGAAGTGGCCGACCTACAGTAATCCAAGACAATGATTTGAGGACCCTGACGGTGAGCGATGCTCATGTAACGGTTTTTTGGTCGAAATTCATTAACTTTGAATGTCCATAAGAATTTTCTTCACTTTATCGGCAATGCGATTACCTTTACTCCTGTCGTGCCCTTTAACCCACCTCAGGATAGTGTTATTATCTACCGAGGCTTTGGCCAAATCTTGGTGGCACTCTAGTACTAGCCCTGAGGTAACACGTTGTCTGTTCGAGGCTAATAGGGCTTGTCTACTACCAGTGCCTGCAGCCTACTTCGAAAATGATCCTACAATTTCTCACTTTCTTTTCCAAAGATTGAGATATATTCTATATGGAATATCTTACAATATGTTGATTGAGTTGAAGATTTAGCCAAAGCCACATTTCCACACCACCTTTGAGGTTGTGTACTTAGCACGTTTTTTTAACGTGGTTTCCCACGATAAAAGCAATTTAACTTAAAGTAAGTAGTGAAATTTAATCGTCCGAGTCGTAACTTCCAAATTCTTCTTCTTGTTCTTCTTCTTGATCTTCTTGTTCGTCTTGTTCTTCTTCTTCTTGTTGTTCTGCATGTAAACTGCGTTAATAGCTATGTATCGCATGTCGCCTTGTTGGAATCAAACGGATTCTCCACGTAAGGCATGTGCTCAGGCTAGAAGAGAAGTGGTAAGATCGAACAGAGGTAATGATGAACCTCAAAAAAGACTGAGGCAAGATGAATACAAACAAAGCAGAAATGATCTGAAGAAAACAATAGCAGAAGCCAAACAGAGAGCGTTGAGAACACTGATAGAAGAAGTAGATTCGGATGTCTGGGGAAAGGGCTACCAAATAGTAGCTAACAAGGTTAGAGTCAGCCGATTGGACTTACTGAAGAAGAACAAATAAAATTCGCTAACAGTTGTTTCCATCTCACCAGATTAAAAAATGGGACAGATTACCAACGGCACCAGAGGAGATACCACCGTTCACAATCGATGAACTCATGGAAGCTAACAAAAGACTAAAAGAGAAAAAAGCCCCCGGTGCCGATGAACTCCCAGCGGAAGTCATCAAAGTTATCGTTAAGGCACACCCGGAACAATGTCTGAGGATAATGAACCTATTATTAACAAAAGGGCAATTCCCCAAAAATGGAAGATAGCCAGACTCGTTCTTATCGAAAGTTCGGTTTCCGAAAAGGTAGGTCAACAACAGATGCACTGGCCACGGTACAAAACATCGCAGACTAAGCAAACGAAAGGACTGGCAGGAAAAGGTACGCCATGATACCGTTGGATGTACAAGACGCTTTCAACTCCGCGCTATGAGAAGGGATCTTGAACGAAATCGAAAGAAGAGATGTACCTGCATACCTGTACAATATGATTGCCACCTACCTTGAAGAGAGGGAGTTAATAGTAGGATACAAGGGAAAAATGAACATCACCTGTGGTGTTCCACAAGGCTCCGTAGTTGGACCGACATTGTGGCACATATACTATGATGGGGTACTGAATCTTAAGGTTCCTAGGGAAGTTAACCTAATAGGCTACGCAGATGACCTAGCCGTAGTGGTGGGGAAAAATGAAGAAAGTCTGGTAGAAACTTCCAATAGAACTGCCCAAGCTTGCCCCCCAGAAGTCAGAGGTAGTACTGCTGGCAGCAGGCAGAAAACTGAAAAGTATTACAATTGAATTGGAGGAAACGAACATCCGTAGCCAAAAATCTATTAAATACCTGGGAATCCACATGGATTCCCAGCCATAAGCAGGACAAGCCATAAACAACATGAGCAGGATAATATCCTTGGGGGTCTTCGAGAAGGTAGCAGAAGAATTCTATGCTCAGTCGCTATATGGCGTAACGATTTGGAGAAGAGCCATGGAAATAAAGGTATACAGGAATATACTATTTAGTGTTCAATGGAAAGCAGCCATAAAAATAGAGTGTGCATATAAAACAACATCAACTGAAGCTCTGCTGATGATTGCAAGAACCCCCCAATAGATATGCTGGCGGAAGAGAGAACAATGGTACAAAACAACGTTTCAAAAGAGTTAGCAAGGTTACAAATTATGGAAAAATGGCAACAGTCTTGGGAGATAGAGGATGGAAAGGCCAACTGGACAAGAAAACTAATAAGAGACATAGAACCATGGATGAACAGAAAATGGGGAGAAGTGAATTACTTTCTCACACAAGTACTAACGGGGCATGGGTGTTTTCAGGTGTATCTGTTTAGGTTTAAAGTGAGTGACACATAAGAGTGCAAATATTGCGGGATGATAGATACGGTAGAACATACAATCTTTGAATGCATACATTGGGAAGAACAGAGACGAAGTACAGAAATGACGACAGGAGGATTAACACCGGAAAACAAGATAGGGAAGATGCTCAAAAGTATAGAAAACTGGGACGCCGTTAGTAAACTCTCCAAGACCATCCTGACAAAGAAAAGAAAAGAACTAGATGAATAATAATGAAGTACTGAAGAGAAAGGAAGAGCCCTGAACGACCACTACAGTTTGCTATTCCGAAGTAGTGCCCGAGGGCGGTTCCAGAGTAGCCTGCTTGACTCATGAGTGGTTTTTTAGTCGGTAAAAATCCGACACTATTTGGTCACAGGGCGACCAGGTGTCTTTCGAAGATTTTTCCACTCGCCGAAAAAACACTGTTGGTGATTCAATATTAGAGCACGACAGGCCCTGACAATGTGAACATGCCAAAGAACAAAATAGTCCGGCTTTTTTGCAACCACATTTAGCACTTCACCCCTTTTTGCAGTTGCAAAAAATTGTGTTCAGCAGTTTTTCCGGCGCAGGTGGAAGTGAAGTTTGGAGTTTAATGAATTGTTGACTAACCTAACCCCAGTCTATAAGGTCTAGCTGATAACCAAGCTACATTTGAACTTGGTGATATACCCGAAAAAGATGTTGATGAGAAGCAACCGATAGAAAAATATTTTAACATATATTACCACTATAGAGATGTATATACGTGGCGTACTCATGCATATTATGAGGATTACAACTTTCACAACTTTTTGAATCGTTATATCTTAGAAAAGTAATCAACTGAAAATCGAATATCTGTCAATTTAATTCTGTGATTTTATTTGAAAATTGCGAACTTAGGTTATGGTTATTTTGAAAAATATCTATCGGTGGAGTCAGAGTTTTCTCTGACTCCACCGGAGTTAGTAGAAGCAGCGAAAGTAGCGTCACAAAAATTATTGCCTGCTAAATCCCGGAAAATGTATGAAACCGCGTATTCAAGAATCATAGAATCGAAGATAAAAAAGACATGCAGTTCTTTGTCGGACACGGT